AAGTAGCTCTCCATTTATTTTATCTTTTATCAGCTAAAATGTTTTTAACCATGGCATCTGGATGAAGCTTACCTGGGAAACACATGAAAGACAAAAAAGATATGTTGAAAATATGAGGAAACAAAAAAGTAAAAACACTTGTCACTGTACAGCATCGATCCTTAAGACAATTGAACAGTGTTTCAATAAATGCTTTACTTCCTGGAAAAGCAGAATGATTTAAGTAAATGTTAAATATTACATTGATGAAGCGACAGTCGGAATATATGCTTCCCTTTATGTGACCTCCCTTTACCTCCACCAGGGTGACAGGAAGAGCATTACTACATGACAAAGATACTTGTTGCTGATAGTGGGAATTATAACAAAAGGAGAACAGGTACATATTGAGAGACATATTGAGTAATAGGCATAAAAAAATTAACTTCCATAAGAAGACAGTAGGAAATAATTTTCTTTGGAATCATACTTTAAAAATCAGTGCTCTTTTAAAAATTAGACTATAAGAACCAACTAAAGTGTAAAACAACAGAATCATAAGTTCTGGAGGACTTTTTAAAGCCAAATACTCAATTCAGTAATTCAAGAACATGCACTTAAAGATTTACTGATTGACACAAAAGGAAAGCAAGGATTTGCCAAGTAGCCAGTGACAGAGAATACTTTCCACTGTTCACCCTGATGCTGGAAGATTATAATGATCAGTGTCACAATTATTTATATACACAATTTCCTCCTGGCAGTTAAACACTTTAGGCTGGATTTGCTTATGGAGTTTGTGGAAGAGGTTTGCATTCTTGTCTCTAATTGCAATTCCATGTCTCCAATCAAAAGCTACCTAAGGGTGAGGCACAGTGGCTCACGCCTGTAACCCCAGCACTTTAGGAGGCTGAGGCAAGTGGATCACCTGAGGTCAGGAATTCAAGACTAGCTGGGCCAACATGGTGAAACCCCATCTGTATAAAAATTAGCCAGGCATGATGGCGGGTGCCTGTAATCCCAATCCCAGCTACTCAGGAGGCTGAGGCAGGAGAATCGCTTGAACCCAGGAGGCGGAGGTTACAGTGAGCCAAGATTGTGCCATTGTACCCCAGCCTGGGTGACAGAGCAAGACTCCACTAAAAAAAAAAAAAAAAAAAAAAAAAAAAACTACCAAAGGATTTGCTGCAGCGAGTGAGACAGAGGGCCTTTGTAAATTATGAAACTCAACTCCATTTTATATCCTTGCAAATTATACAACTTAAATTTTATCAGTCCTTAACAATTGCAGTGTAAAAGGAAGGAATCCTTAGAGAGTTGAGCCTGGTAGCTTGCGTTCACCAACTGTTCAAACCCTCACTGGATCTCTGTTAGAAATGCCAATAGAAATGAGAAGTGGGGACAAGTGTTAGGAAGGTCGCCTGTGGTTATGTTTTTAAATCTTCAACTTGGACAGAATAATGACTGTGGAAAGTTAGTTCATTTTTGCAAAAAAAAGAAGAGCTTTAGCACCTCCCATTTGAAGGACTTCATAGTTCTACTCATGCAATATAATCAAACTTTCAAAAGGTACTTAATTGGTTTTTATTTTCATAATATGCTTTTATGGAATAATCGTGGACTTAGCTTCTATGGGATATATTTGAAAGATCAAATGCAATAAAAATTATATTTTGAGAAAAAGATTATTTATCTTACTCACTATTATACCCCAGATCAATAAATAGTTGTTAAATGTATGAATGAAAATAATGAATGTTAAGAAGATTAAATGTCTTTTTAATATGAAAAAGATCAAATGGTTTTGTTGGCTTTCAGGATTTTTTTAGTGCAAATTTATACTTTTGTTTAATTTATGAACATTAAAACTTTTTAAAATAGGTTTTCCAAGTTTTTACTGTTTTCTTGATTAATTATGCAGCAATTAACTGGTTTGAAGGTTTGAAGACATATGATTGAGGGGCCATCCTCTTTTATATTATTATTCTTTCTTTTTTTCTAATTATTTTAGATGTAGGAAATTTATTTCAAGCTTGAGTTGGTGGATCAGTGACCATTTGCACTAAGTAGGATATAAAAGTCTGTATTTTTACATAAGCCAGTTACAAAAACATGTTTGTAAGTTATGACCATACCATAAACAGAAGAGTAAAATTTACTTAAATAACATTTTTCAAGTTACAAACAAATCTTATTAGGTATTTTGAAACTGTTGTTTTAATTCATAATTGAAGCTATGGAAAAAAATCAATTATTTTTTATTTTATAACTCAGACATAATTCATGAATTTTATACTTCGTATAATTCATTTGGCTGTCTTTTTCCCCCCTAGATTCTGTACACTGGAATTGTTATTTATGCCCCTGCTCTGGCTTTGAATCAAGGTACATTTTAGAGTTGCCAGTTAGGTAACTCACATTTTGGGGTTCACTTTCAGCAAGGCTTATTTTCTCCTTGGGGAAATAGGAAGATGGAGGAATGCTTCTAGTAACCTACATCAGCTTTACTAGGGGGCAGAATGGGTTCAGTGTTTATACTAGCTTCTTTGGGTTTCTGGATGGATAGCTCCAAAGTGCCTGTAGATCATTACAGAGGCAGACTTCTCCAGGTGGTACTTCTCTGGGATGTGTCCACCAGCCATTCATTCCTTTAGAATTAAAGCCCCCTGTAGTCAAATTCAGGATTCACAGCATCCCCTTCTGTGGGTCTATAACCTGGAGCCCATCTCCTGGAAGCTTCCCTGTAATTCTGCTCAGGTCTGTTGTAAAACCTGGAAGGGAGAAAAGCTTTTCTTCTCCTCACTTCTAATATGGCCCAAAATGAAAGAGAAAGAGAGCCATGTGATTTGAATAATCAGACTGCTCCTGGTAACAAAAGGACAGATGTCTGTAGTGACCTTACAAATACATTTATGAAGATTATGCTGACCAACAAAGTATCTATACTCTCTAGATTTGGGAAGATAAATGCAGTGAGCCTGGGATCGTTTATTGAAGCAAAGGTTTATGTTAGTCATGTTTTCAAAAGGCTTTGGGAAAAGAGCATGCCCTTTGAATTCTTATCTATTGGAAGTGAATTTCTCTAAAACTTCCTTGTAAAATGGACATGCGGACTCTGTGATGGGAAGAATGTGGTGCAATTCCTGGGGTCATGATATGACCTGAAGAAAACCTACTAATTCCACACTCTGTTTTCTTGATTTTATGATAGACATGTAGTTATCACCTAAGTTTATGAAGTAAACAGTATTATTACCAAGAGAAATTTCATGTATATGGTGCTATTGAACTCTGAATGCTGGGCATGTTCCACGTCAATATTATCAACATCACAAGTGGATCATTTCGTATGTCGAGAACTGAGTTATAAACTTCATAAGTTACCTATTGGCTTTAAGTGTAATTAAACATGGCAGGGTTTTAAAGTGCAGTTCTGGGGATAATTAGAAGACTGACTTCAATCTCTGAAGAAGTGAAGGATTCTTTTCTTATCAGGCTCAAACCACTCCCTGAGAGCAAATTAGAACCAGAGTGAAGGTGTTTTGATGACTAGAGTATCAATGTGTGTTTTACTGTGACCAAGGCAGTAGGCACAGGCATAGACACAGAACTTAGCCTGCAACAGATACCCCAAAAAAGCTTATTTAACTGAATTGAAACTTAACATTCTCTAGATCTAATTTTTAAAAATTTTAAAATTTTTGGAAAACCTCAAACAAATACTAAGAGAGAATGGAGCTCCTTAATGTGCTCATTCATCCTCTACATTAATATTTACCAACTCATGGTCCATTTTAATTCACTCCCCCTTACCTCTACTAGATTATTTTGCTGCAAATATGCCATTTCATCTGTATTTCAGTATGACTTTTAGAAATAAAGACTTTTAAAACCATAATTATGCCATCATTGTATCTAAAATACTAATATTAATTTCTTAAGTTCACATCAAGTCAGTGTTCACATTTCCCTGATTTTTTTTCAGTGTTTGTTGGAATCTGGATCCAAATAAGATTATGCGATTGCAGCAGTTGATGTCTCTTAAGTTTCCCTTTCCTGCTTTTTAAAATTGAAAGCCAGTTTTTTTTCTTTCTTTTTTTCTGACCACCTGCTGCCTGTTGAGAAAACCAGCTTTTATTGAGGTACAGTTAATATACAATAAAATGCACAGAACACGGGGAAGTGTACAGGTGGATGAGCTTTAATAGTTGCATAATAGCTTGTGTAACTACCACCCCACTCACAATATAGATTATTTCCACCATTCACTCCCAGAAATTTTCCCTGTGTGTCTTTTTAACAAATCCCCAATGGACGCAAGAAACCATTTTCTGACTTTTACCACCACAAACTAGTTTTCCCTGTTGTTAAATTTTATATAAGTGGAATCATATAGAGCCTTTTAAGTGTCTGGTTTATTTTGCTTAGAAAACATTTATGCATCTACCAACATTTGAGTATCCATTCCTTTGTTATAGACATTGGGTTGTTTCCAGTTTTAGGCAATTGTGAATTAAGGGTGTCAAGAACATTCTTCTACAGGTTTTGTGAGTTTTGTTTTTCTTTTTGACCCCTGTTTTCACTTCCATTGGAAAGGACATACATGGATGTGTATAAAGTTAAACATATAATTGTATTCGGACCCAGCTGAGGATAGGAATATGTGCAAATTTATGAGAAATTGCCAAACAGCTTTTCCAAGTGGTTGTATCGTTTTGCATGTTCACTACACAATATGTGAGAATTCTAGTCATTCCACATCTTTGCCAACATTTTATATTATCCTTTTTTATTCTAGTCATTCTAGTGGGTATTATCTATTACTTTATTGTTTTAATTTTCATTTTCTGTATAACTATTATGGCTGAGCTTATTGGCTCCTGAAATAATAAAGTGAATAAAAACAAATAACCTAATAAAAAGTAAGCCAAAGACTTGAACACTTCACAAAAGTAGATATTCTTGCAAGTAATTATATGACTTATCTTTTCATTTACTTAGCCCTTTAAAAATTTCTCTTAGTGCTTAGTTTGGCAGCACATAATGCTAAAACTGGAACAATACAGAGAAGTTAGCATGGCACTTGCACAAAAAGGATATGCAAATTTGTGAAGCATTCCATATTTTTTTTTAAAAGGAAGAAAAGAAATAATAAATTAAAATAAAACTTCTCTTAGTAATGTTTTGTACCTTTGGATATTGAGGTCTTTTACTATTTCTTAGATTTAGTCCTAGATAATTTATGTTTTTATGCTATTGAAAATGGTATTGTTTTATAATATTTTTCAATTATTCGTTGCAAGTATATAAAAATACAACTGATTTTTAAATGTTGATATTCCATCCTGAGAACTTGCTGAATTTACTTTTTAAATCAAGAAGGTTTTTGGAAATACCCTTAGGATTTTTGTGTTGTTTATGAATAGTGACCATTTTACTTCTTTCCTAATCCTTATAGCTCTTAGTTCTCTTTCCTGTCTTATTGCAATATTAATGTGGAAAGTTACATTGATTGAGTTTTGAATATTAAACTAATTTTTGCATTCTTGGGATAAACTCTGCTTGGTCATAATATATAATAGTTTTTATATATTACTGAATTCAGTTTGCTCACACTTTGATAAGGCTTCATAAATGAGTTGGGAATGTTCTCCATTTTCTGAAATAGTTTATATAAAATTTGTATTTATTTCTTATGTGCTTGGTAGAATTCACCCTGAAGGCATCTGGACCTTCTCTTTGTTTTTGTAGAAAGATTTTGGTTTATGGATTCAATTTCTTTAATAAATATAGACATTCAGATTTTAAAAGTCTGGTTGGATCAGTTTTGGTGAATTGTGTTTTTTTAGGGAATGCTTCGATTTGGTCTAATTTATCAAATTCATTGGCATAAAGTTGTTTACAAACCTCCTGTTATGTTTTCAATGTTTATAGTATCTACAGTGACATCCCTTCTAATTATCCCTAATCTCGACAAGATACCTTTTCTATCTTTTTATTTTGATGCATCTTTCTAGTATTCTATTGATGTTTTAAATGTTTTCTAAGAACCAATGTTTTGGCTTGTTGATTTTCTTTGTTTTCTATTTCATTAACTTGTGCTGTTTATTGTTTCTTTTCTTCTAGTTACTTTGGGTTTATGTTTTTCAGTTTCTTAAGGTAGAAGCTTAGATCATTAATTTTAAGTATGTCTGATTTCATGATGCAAACATTTAAAATTATTAATTTTTCTTTAACCACTGCTTTATTTGCAGCCCATGGATTTTGACCTTGTGTTTTTATTTAGTTCTCAAAATATTTTCTACCTTCTCCTGTGATTTCTTTTGCCCATGGGTTATTTAGAAGTGTATTGCTTAATTTTCAATATTTGAAGATTTTCTATCATGTCTTCTTGTTATTTATTCCCAAACTAATACTGTTTTGGTCAGATAACTAATATAATTACGATCATTTGAAATTTATGGATTTGTCTTATGGCCCAGGATCAGTTCTATCTTAAACATTCCATGTACTCTTAAAAAGAATGTGCTTGTTGGATGTAAGGTTCTATACAGTCAAAGATTTAGTTGACTAATAGTGTTATCACATCTTCCATCTCTTTTCTGTTTTTTTAAACTTATTCTATCAATTGCTGAGAGAAGGATGTTAAAATCTTCAAATATAATTATCGATTTTTCTATAGCTCCCATTTCTCTGTCAATTTTTACTGAATGTATTTTGAGGCTCTTCTAAAATCTTTTTTTTTTAAATTTACAATCTCTCTTCTGTTTCCTTTCATTTAAATGGCAACTTATTTGCTGAAGAAACTGGGTTATTTGTTCTGTCCAGTTTTCCAGGTTTTAGGTTTAACAACTACATCTCTATGGGGTCATTTAATGTTCCCCATTCCTATGTATTTCTTGTAAACTGGTAGTAGTTTACTACTAGTAGTTAGATCTAGAATCTTTTTGAGACTCCACTTCAACTTTTTCGAAATCATATTTTATATGCAGTATCTATAAGTTTATTTCCTTCAGGAGTCCCAGAATGCCAAGTTTTAAAAAAAATTAGCAGCTATTGACGATCATTCTAGACTTATTATTTCATTGGGGCTTATAAAATGGAGTATTCTAGTGCTGTGAATTCTTCTTCACTAATTAGATGGAATACTTCTATAAAGAGAAACTTCCTCTTATCAACTATGTGTTTACTCTGAAAAATAGTTTGTATAGGAAAGGCAGGATAAATGTCAGATTTTTCACCTTATGAGTTTTAAAAAGAATAAATTGGTTCTCTACTATCCCTCAAGGGTGACTGAGATTTTAAAAAAATCCTTAAGAACTCATGGATTTAAAGGTTTGCTGTTATTTCATAGCTATTGTTAGTATTATTACTGATGCCCAAATTGTCCCATTTTTATTCAGCAGTAGCCCCCTTAAGCTCCTCCTGATTTTAACCTTGGCTGCATATTGGATTCACTTGGGATGGGGGGCTTTCAAAAATACCAATACCTACCTGGGTCGCCATCGCCAGGACTCTGAGTTAATTAGCTTGCTGAGTGACTCAGTTATCAGGATTTTATAAATCTCCTCTGTTGATTTTAGAGTGCAGTCACAATTGAAAGCCATCGATGTAATAGTTTTAGAATAGCAACTCTAAGCCATAAAGAATAATATGATGGTCTAACACAGTTAAAAATATTTTTCTTTGTTGTTCTTTTTTCTTGGTGTATCTGAGTAGGAATATATGTTAATTTGTTGTGTTAAACATTTTGTGACATATTTCCTCTGTGTGGTAATATCACAAACTTGATGTACAGTTAGGTTCCATGTATTTCATTTTGCAATTGATATTAAGGAGTTTCTTTTTCTAATTTAACTTTATAATTATGTGGAATATTTATGTGGTTCCAAAGTAAAATCTATACATCAAAATATGTCTAAAGAAGCCTGGCTTGTATCTCTGTCTCCTCTACCCTATTTTCTCCCTCTCCTAGAAGTAATTTTTTGGTTTTGATTTATCCTTTCATTTTAGTATATGTACTGCTGAAATGAGCACAATTCTTTTCTTTAAAAAAATGAAATAAATTCCCCCACTTCTTAGACAAATAGCAGCAAATTATAAAGACTTTTCTCCATCTAGATCCATTTTAGTAGTACATGACTTAGTAATGCGCTCTTCAAGGACTGGTAAAATAGTGTGTTTACATGGACACACACAGGGGAACAACACACAGTGGGGCCTACTAGAGGGTGGAGGGTGGGATGAGGGAGAGGATCAGGAAAAACAGCTAATGGGTTAATGGGTACTAGACTTGATACCTGAGAGATGAGATAATCTGTACAAGGAACCCCCATGACACAAGTTCATCTATGTAACAAACCTGCACATGTACATCTGAACTTAAAAGTTTTTAAATAAGCATTATCATTACCTTTATTAAATTTCTGAAAAATCAGATCTGCAATCTGCAATGTTATAATTACATTTGAATCCTTTAATGTTGTCTTCATTTGAATTTTCTACACGTCATAGCAATGGAATATTGTCATTATATTGTCAGTATGATGTATTGTCCTCAAATTCAAGTATTTGCAACATAACACATAAAAAGTGGTGTTTATTTGAATCTTGTCTAATTTTGGGAGAGAGATAAGAAATACCCATCACAGTATCAAGGACTTTCTTAGCTTAATTACAATATAAATGTCTTTCCATCTATTTAATTAAGCTAATGTCGAATCTGTGTGTCTGAGGGCTAGAAACTCATCAAATAGAATTTTAAACTCCATTTGTCTTTGAGATATTTATGAGATTTGGAGCTAGTTTTAGTTTTAGACAAGTGGGTATAGAGGAAGGTGCCTGAAAAATGATATAGCTTCATTCTCTGATGATTTTTGAGGAGTATTTTTATTGTGCATATTTCACAATTACACATGCATTCTCTTTTTTTCTCCAGTCACAGGATTTGATCTGTGGGGCGCGGTAGTGGCAACAGGGGTGGTCTGCACATTCTACTGTACACTGGTATGTCCAGAACATATTTCCCTTTTCACTCTACCCACCTGCGTTGCAAAATTGAAAATTCCAGTTGTTGTATGCTGCAATCTGGTTTGTCCATACCTACTCTCTCCTATTCCCGACCTCCCACAGTGTAACATTTTTGTGTAAGAAATAGTCTGTAGTATAATTTGATCCTTTGTAGAAAATGGAGCATAACAAATTTTTTTCTTTCATCTGATCCATTGCAATCATTCCTAATCTTGTCTCCTGATTCATCTGTACTGTTGCCAAGTTATTATATTTGTGCTCATATTATTCCTCAGCTTAAAAACGTGTGGTAGGTCGCAGGCACAGTGGCTCCCGCCTGTAATACCAGCACTTTGGGAGGCCAAGGCAGAAAGATGGGCTGAGCCCAGGAATTTGAGACCAGCTTGGGCAACATAGTGAGACTCTGTCCCTACAAAAAGAATAAAAAAATTAGCAGTCATGGTGGCACACACCTGTAGTCTCAGCTACTCAGGAGGGTGAGGTGGGAGGATCACTTGAGCCCAAGAGTTTGAGGCTGCAGTGAGCTATGGTTGCACCACTGCACTCCAGCTTGGGTGGCAAAGAGAACCCGGTCTCAAAACAAACACATACCTGTGATAACTTGCCCTTGCTTATAGGCAAAGGTGGCAAAATATGCAAAACCAGTAGGGCACGGCACTGATATTATGTGTGCTGGTCCTCGGCAGTGAGGAAATCTTATGGAATCCCTGATGCTGTATGCCATAACCCTGTAGGTGCTGGATCTTGTAGAAGATGGGGCCCTTAGCCAGGTGCTGGTTCAGTTCAGGTCATAGAGAAACTTGGGAAATTTCTGATAGTGGCTAGTTCAGATCATTTATAGTATTTAACAGTGGAAATGACCACCTGAGTGCAAACCGATTAAATATCAGCTCTGCCTATAGGATAAAATTAATATTATTTACTTGTAATTTGACTCTGAATTTTTCTTCCCAATGATCTCCCAACACCACTCCACTTCATTCTAAAATATGTATGTATCTGGCCACATTCAGCATCTCATGTAGTTTGACTCCTTTATGCTTTTGCCCATGCGCTTTTCTCTGTTGGGCAGACCTTCCATCTTTGCCTGTGCTTGAT